AGGGAGAGGGAGAGAGAGAGAAAGAAACATTGATGCGAGAGAACATCGATTGGCCGCCTCCTGCATGCCCTCCACTGGGGATCGGGCCCACAACCTGGGCATGTGCCCTGACCGGGAATCAAACCAGTGACCTCTTGGTGCATGGGTCAACGCTCAACTACTGAGCCACACCAGCTGGGCATTACACCAGCTTTTATAAGGTCATTTTAAATGGACCATCCTGGGCAGCAAATAGTCTAATATTGATGGCATTGGGTTGACATGATCATTGTAAAGAAGCCTGCTTGTTGCCCTGGCCGGTTTGGCTCAGCGGTTAGAGCATCGGCCTGTGGTCCGGAGAGACCCGGGTTCGGTTCCCGCTAAGGGCATGTACCTTGGTTGCAGTTTGTCCCCGGCCCTGGTTGGTCATGCGGGTGGCAGCCACTCGATGTGTCCCTTTCACATCGATGTTTCTCTCTCTCTCTCTCTCTCTTCCTCTCTCTCCCTCCCACTCTATCTGAACAAAAAATGGAAAAATGTCCTCCGGGGGGAAAAATAAATAAATAAATAAAGAAGTCTGCTTGTCATTTGTTATAAACTTCTATTATAGCTGGCACTTATTTAGCAATTTATTTGGACTTATACTATATGAATAAACTATGAACTTCTACTTTATACATAATATCTCCATGCAATTGGCCTCCTTCACAAATAAGAAAAACGAGAGCTAGTACGGGATGAAGCCTAGATTTGAAAAGTCAGTTTGCCACCAGCCGTGTGCTCTTAACCAGTAAACTTCAACATAACATTGTTAAAAAAAAAGAGAAAGACACCAAAAAATGAAAACTATTGTCCCATTTAAATGTTACGTAGTAAATAGAAATCATTTTCTAGGAAATGTGTACTCTCATCCTGGCCGGTTTGGCTCAGCAGTTGGGGCACCGGCCTGTGGACCAGAGAGTCCCGGGTTCGGTTCCCGCTAAGGGCACGTACCTCGGTTGCAATTTGTCCCCAACCTGGTTGGGGTCGTGTGGGTGGTGACCACTCCATGTGTCTCTCTCATATCGATGTTTCTCTCTCTCTCTTCCTGCCTCATTCCCTCCCACTCTAACGATAAGCGAAAGAAAGAAAGAAAGAAAGAAAGAAAGAAAGAAGGAAGGAAGGAAGGAAGGAAGGAAGGAAGGAAGGAAGGAAGGAAGGAAGGAAGGAAGGAAGGAAGGAAGGAAGGAAGGAAGGAAGGAAGCTACATGATTTGCAGAGCCTAGTGCAAAATGAAAATGCAGGGCCTTTTATTAAAAAGTTATTAAGAATTTCAATTAAGCCCTGGCCAAGTAGTTTTGTTGGTTACAGTATCATCCCAATACACCAAGGTTGCAGGTTCGATCCCCAGTAAGGCACATGCAAGAATCAACCAATGAGTGCATAAATAAGTGGAAAGACAAATCAATGTTCCCCCTTGCTCCTCTGTCTCAAATCAATAAAAAGTTTTTAAATATAAAAGAAATTCAATTAAAATTTGAGAGCAAAGCATTCAATCAAGTGTGTGGTCCTTTGACACGTGAGGGCCTGTGTAGCTAAAGCTTGCACACCCATGAGCAGGCTCTCCTCACAAGGCCCAGGACCCTGACTCTGGCCTTGACCCTGTGCAGCTGTCCTTCTACAGGCTTGAATGAGTCTCATAGTATGAGAAGAAGTACTGGGGACCTTTTTTAAGTCTGTCCCAGAATCACTCTGGTTTCTCCACTGAGAGCTCCCTGAGACAAGGGGACCTTGGATGGATTAGGCCTGGGGTGGAAAGCTAGGCTACCAGGCCACAGGTCTAATGACTTGTATTCTCAGAAAGGAGAAATAGAGACCACTTTTTATCTCAGCAGCCCAGAGTGAGATGATAACAGGATGTGGGGAAAAGAAAGAGGAAGCCCTGGGGGATTCCCACCAACCCCCTAAAGAGGGAGTTTTCCTAGGCTCCCACTGGAATGGTGGCAGCACCCTGGGAAGTGTAGCCATGCACCTCGGTTGTCTGGAAGGGGTCTGATGATGTTTCAAATTAATGCATCTCACACTGGTCATTCAAATGCTTTGCTTTCGCCCTTTAAAAACTCTAAACAAAAGTGATGTATTTTAGTCTTTCTTCTAAAAGTTCTATAAAAGAACTACATTTCTAGGGAAAAAAAAGTTGTCATTAATTCCTGGATTTTGATTTAATTTGTGGTATACATTAAAGGTATTGTCATTCAGTCTTGCAGACAGTCAAGAATCAGAGCAGGGGCTTTTATAAGAAAAACATATAGATTTAAACTCAGCTTCCTCTCCTTACAGATTCTGACTTTGAGGAAGTTAATTAACCTTTCTGAGGCTTACTTTTTTTAACCTGTCAAATGAAAAAAGTTAAAAATAATAACTTGGGAGAGCTTTTAGAAGCATCTATTACATGAAGCTGCTTAGTGCAATACCTGAAATATAAGAACTCAACAAATTATAGAGACATTATTTGATAAACAAATAAATATACATGCATTTCATGTATAAATACACTTATAGTTCATTCATATATATATACTTTTAAGTATATTATATATGTGTATATATATGAACGTGTGTATGTATGTGTGTGTATAGGTAGGTAGGTAGATAGATAGATAGATAGATAGATAGATAGATAGATAGATGATAGACAGATAGATAGGTAGGTAGGTAGATGGATGATAGATAGATAGACACAACATTTTTTTTTTAAGTTTCTAAATCTTGGACTCTCATATATTGGAGAAGGAAAAATGCTTGGCCAGGAAGACCAGTTGTAATAAATAGAGTTTCTTTTTGTTTTTGAACACAGTTTAAAATTTTTATTTTACTCACAATCAATAAAAGAACCAGGTAGATATCATAACCAGTTAAGAGATAACTATTCAAACAAAGTAATACAGAACAGGAATATTGAAATAAATGTGCAAATTATGGCAATACTGGGAAGACAATTGAAGATATACTGAGAAGGACCAAATTTGCATTGATATCACTATTCTACAACTTACATATTATAAAATAGCTTTCATAGAACAAGAATCAGATAAACTAAAGGGGTGTACCCTAGTATGAATAATGCAAAGTTTTCTATTAATGCACAACATTTTCCTACAGATACAAGGATGCTAAGATATAAAGTCCTTATTTTCTGTTTTGTAACTATAAGATAAATCTAACCTTTGTTCAAGTATAATAAAATACACAAAAGTTACATTATTAGAATAACTTAATCCAAATGTTGCCGCATTCCAGAGGGGGTGGGGCATTTGAAGACGTGGAATCCATCACAAAACCTCTCATAATCAAGTCCTTTCTATATTGATTACCAGCACCTGATCTGCTTGGATGCTAAAGCCAAAAACTTGGGAAGTATTCCTGACCAACTCTTCTTCCTCATGCTACACATCCAGCCTATTACCCAGTCCTCATGTTCGCTCCATTTTTATTGCTCCCTTCCTAGACCAAGCTTGTATCATTTATAAGTTTCTTTGGGGACTTCTGTCTGTCACTGCTAACTCAATGCTCAATTTTTATGGTACTCAAATTAAATTACTACTGCTTGCATAGTAAGGGACATAGCATAAACCCTATGCTTCGCATCTAGTAGATCAATTGTTTACTTGAATAGAAACCTAACGTAATCCTCAGAAAAGCCAGGTGTGTTTCCTGTCTGAAACTGGTGATGTGTTTCCAGGTGCTATGCAGAGCTTTGACTTGAGTGTATGAATTGCCGTGTGTTGAGGTTATCTTACTTAGACACCACCTCTCCCTAATTCCTAGCCACCTGAAGTATTCTTTGTCTCTCGATTTAATCATAGAAAACAAAATGGAAAATATCTGAAGCTCTAGTATCCCTTTTGAGCTGACAGAACATATATTCAGATTTGCCTCCAAAATTTGTTTTATAGTTCCGTCAAAATTGTGGATAATAGCTATTTAGTCATTATATGCCCAATATAGAATTCACTAAAAATTCTTAATTTTAAAAATGAAAAAAGAAAAAGTAGAAACTCTCTAGGTCCATCCATGTTGTCACAAAGGGTAAGATTGTCTTCTTTTTTATGGCTGAGTAGTATTCTATTGTGTAAATGTGCAACAGCTTTTTTATCCACTCATCTATGGATGGACACTTGGGTTGCTTCCAAATCATGACTATTGGAAATAATGTTGCAATTATGCAACATGAAATAAGCCACTCAGAGAAAGACAAGTACCATATGAGTTTACTCATATGTGGAATTTAAGGAAAAAAATGAATTAACAAGCAAAGTAGAGACAGACTCACCCAGAGCGGGCTGAAAACTGAAGCAGGGGCTGGGGGAGGTGGAGGGATTGAGCAAAAAAGAGAAAAGAACTCATGGACATGGACAGCAGAATGTGGTGATTGCCAGGGAGGTGGAGGAGGGCAGGGGGTAAATGGTGATGGGTGGAGACTGGACCTGGGGTGGTGAACACACAATACAGTGTACAGATGATGTGTGTGGAATTGTGCCCCTGAAACTAGTAGAATTTTGTTAACCAGTGTCACTCCAATACATTCAATAAAAAGAAAGAAAGAAGAAAGAAAGAAAGAAAGAAAGAAAGAAAGAAAGAAAGAAAGAAAGAAAGAAGGGTTAGATTGTGGTGATGGTTGCACAACTCTATGAATTTACTACAAATCATGATTTGTACACTTACAATGGGTGAATTTTATGGTTATGAGTGCTATATCTCAAGCCTTTTATAAAAAACTGGTTTTAAAAAGCCGAAGCAATTGTATCCCCAATATAAACAAACACTTCCCTTTAAATATGCAAATGAACTTAAAAATAGCACATGCTTTCTGTTTTGATAGTGAATAAAACTATTTCGATAGCAGTCTTTTCAAAATCTATTTGTGAAATGAGCAATTTGTTTTGTGTCTGGACTTCACAGGAGTTTTCTTACTTGATCTTGGCTTGGAGGTTTGACTGAATAAATTATTTCTTGACTTTTGAATTATTCATCTTGGCTGTATGATATGCAAATCAAACTGCATTCACTATGTCCAGAGGCACAGCACTGGGTCAGAAGCTGTATCAAGTTGCTGGCAAAGAATTTCTATCAAGGGATCAGGACCTTCCAACAGAACAGTAAGTTGTAATGTAACTCACATTGCCCAAATATATAACATTCGTTAGGGGTTTGTTTGAACAGTAGCTTGTGTGTAATTAAGGTTTAAAGCAATGTGTAAATGAACTGTCTGAACTGTTGATCATATGTACATGTAGAACAGCAAAATAAACTAAAAGGAAGTCATAATGTTTCCTTTATATTTATTTTTTAACAAATGGAATGAATGCCTTGTTTTAATTGCCAAATACTAAATTTATTTTATTTAAAGAGGTTTATAATATTTGCTTATGTCTTGATAACTTAGGCTTCATCAAAAAAGTTAATGAGAATTACAAATATAACTACGTGAAAAAAAAAGTTTCTAAATCATGTGAGACAACTATCACATATAATATTTTTTATGTTTAGAAAATAATGTGCTAGAGGAAATTTTAAAAATTAAATTTAACAATTATGCTTGTAAAAATTGCGTTATTCAAAAATATAATTCACTAAGGAGAAATGGAAAATTGCAAAAACCATTGCTATTATACCTTCCAAAACTTTTTATAATTGGTGAGATATTTTCAAGAATTCATAAACACACAATTTGACACCATTACTATAACATTTTAACACTTTTATTTCATAAATGTTCTTTATTGTGATGATTATAAGAAAAAACATAAAAGCTATTAAATTATCAAATGTTTTTAATTTAAGTTTCAAAATATACACTTTCAAAAGACTGAATATAAGCAAAGTGAAAGAAACATTCTCAAGTTAAAGTTAAGAACTATTTATCTGCTTATGTGAGTCAATTCAATATTACTTGTAGTTTAACAATTCTAACAAGTAAAGGTATATTTTTGAATATATAATTAAAGATTTCACTGTAATTTTTAAGATCTGAAAATCAAAAAACCTGTTAAAAATAATTCATCTAAATTATATATAACCTATTTATTACCATTTTTATTTTCTAAAAATCAAAAATCCAACCACTAGGAAGGGGAAGAGAGAGTATTAATTTTTATAAGGATATTTCCCTTCAATTGGAAGTTTTGCTTTAAGGGTCAGTTTTTTCCCCATCAATTTGTAGAATTGTGACAGCCACACTGAAAACACACTTAACTGTAAACATCATTCAACTTAGAATCTGTTACCCTGGAAACTGTGGATCTTGGTGAGGTTAAACTGTTTGCAAATATGAGACAGTTTTATGCTTATAAAATCACAATTTATTAATATTATGGACTTAGGAATAATATTTTTAAAGACAACAAATCTATTAAAAATATGTTTGTAAAAATGAATTCAAATAAATATTGAACTGTAAGAAGATATCCAAATATTAGGAGTGGTTGGTTTACAGATCATTTTGATTTCTTCTTTTTGCCTTTGTGCATTTTCTGAGTGAGTGTTACATAATAAAATGTTTTTTTGTTTTGTTTTTTTTTAAATGAATGAAATAACCATTCTGAGAAGCAGGACAAAGTGGACTAGCCATTCATTTTTCTTATTTCAGTCCTGATATTTTTTATCCCTACTATCTCCCTAATCTCCAATCCCAGTGGACAACTCAAATGCAGAAGAGTTTTCCGTGGCTCGCCGTGGCCCCTGACCGGCCTGAGGGCTAGCTACTGGTCATCTGCCTCCCAGGTCTACTCCCACACACTGTCTTCTTCCGTGGGAGTCAGACCTGCCCGCTGCACATAAGCTACTGACCCAAGTCAGTGTAGTGCATTTAAGAACTGACTAAGCAGAAAAATAAGAGTTATGACTAGAAAAAGAGGAAATTAATCAACGAAACACGTTTTTTGTCTTAAGGAAACTTGTTGTTGTCTTAATATTCACTTGAGTGTGTGCATCAGTTTTTTGAGTATTCCCAAATCAAGTTGCCCACAACTGAGCTTTGAAGAGCTACAACATTGAAATCTTGGGAAAATACGGATTAGACCACAAAAATGTCTACAAGGAGAGAAAGGAGGACAGTAGGGGACTGCCCCAGAAGTCATGGATGGAATTTAAAGCAGCTAAGAATACAGTTAGAAGTAATAGTGAAGAGTTACATCGGTCTAAAAATTAAAGCCTATTATTTAAAAATATACCCTTTTTTTTTTTTTACATTTAACCTTTTTTTTTTTTACTTTCTAAGAATTGTTCATTTTTAATATTATCAAATAAATGCCAATATGGGGAAATTAGAAAGTCTAGATAAATCAAAAGGAGAAAGCACACTATAAAGATTCGCTGGACTCCTATCACTCTGGATAAAACTATTAATACTTTGGTACATGTTCTAGACTTTCTAATGTTTATTAACTTCAGATGTGAATCCCTAAGTCTTTAATTACCCTTGATTTTTCAAAGTGATCCTAGAACCTGTATATTATATTTTTCTTTCTACAAATTTGTGTGTAAATATCACACCTACTACTACTGTTACAATTGCCACTTTTGAATACTAGTCACATTATTTGCAGGGTCAGCTTTTAGAGTAAAATAGGGAAATGGGCTTAATTTGATGGACTTACCACTTATCTTATAATGGAGAAAATATTTACACAAATATTTTCCAAACAGGCAGGTATTTATATGTATCTCTCCACTCAGCGAGCATGCCCGGACCCTCTACACTCTGTCGTCACTGTGCCATGTATACAAGATAAACGATGAGCAAGGTCAAGTTGAGAGAAGTGCCGAGAAGAAGCTCAATATAAAATGAGAGCAGAAAAAGTGAGGATGGAATTTAGCCGAGTGGGTCAGAGAGGCTCTCTTGGGAAACCCACACTTAAACTGATATCTGAAAGAAATATAGATATGAGACAGAACAGGAAAAGAGAGTCAACGAACTGAATATGAGGCAAGTTCTGTGAGCATTCAAAGAACAGGAAGGAACGTGAGCAAGGAGTTGAACAATGCGAGGTGAGGCCGAAACGGACTACAGGGGCCTGATCACGCAGCCATGAAGTCCCTAGTCAAGTCCCCATGACCTGAGGAAGAGACTTAGTTTTCCAAGCCTCAGTGACTTTGTGTGTAAAACTAAAAATAATCACAGTCCCACCCCATTATTAAATGAGATAGTCCTTGGAAAGGTGAGCACAGTGCCTGGTAGCTCCAAGCTTTCCGTAAATAGCGGCTGCTATTATTATTATCATTAAGATTTTCAGCTTTATAGATTAAGTTGCAAAAAATCATGCTTTAAAACTGGATTTGCATTTCACGAATTTAATAAAATAAGCATAATACTTTAACGATATAGAAGCAAAGTTAAGAGCTATTAAAATATCGAGACTGGAGTTATAAACATCCTTGTTTTCTCTTCTAGATCATGGTTCAATCTAATTTAATTCAGCAGAATCTGTCAAACGACTACAGTGTGCTGGGGGCCACGGTAGGTCCTAGAGACCTTCCTCTTCACTTGCGTCTTTGCACTTTCCACTGGCCTCTGCAGTTCTTCCAACCCTCTGTGTGTGTTTCCACTGCAGGGCCTTTGCACATGCCTTTCCTTATGCCTGGAATACTCGTTGTCATATTCATGGTGGGGCAAGAGTGGGTTTACAGCTGTGAGAACATAAAACGCAGAGATTATCCTTGTATTATTATTTATTAATGATTGTATTCTTTTCCATAGGAACAACTGTAAACCTACTTTTGCCCCACCCTATATGGCATGCACTTATTTTTCCATTTTCTGATTCTTCTCAAGAGATTATAAATTGTTTAAGATTAGAAAATTTCATTCACTGTTATCATTACCACTGCCTAGTACAATAGTTCGAAGGTACCAGCAAATGTCTTTTGAAATATTTGTGATATAGATATGTATGTATACACATGTACCTGTACTAATGTAAACCACTCTCCATATAGTTCAACTTTTAAGTGTTATTTTAAAATTATTATTATGGCCCCTGTAGCTCAGTGCATTGAGCCTCGCCCCGTGAACTGTGGCCCCCGTTGGAGTCTTGGTCAGGGCACATTCCTGGGTTTTGAGCTGGATCCCCAGCAGGGGGCGTACAGGAGGCAGCCGATTGACGTTTCTCTCTCACATTGATCTTTCTATCTCTCCCTTCCTCTCTCTCCAAAAACTCAATAAACAAACATTTATAAAACTTACGTTAAGTGAAGTTATGTCTTTAGTCATAGTCTAGTGTTTCATCTTTATGTTTTTTCTCTCTCCTTTAGGCATGGAATGCATCTTGCAAAAATTGGCTGGCAGCAGAGGCTGCCCTGGAAAAACACTACCTTTCCATTTTTTATGGAATTGAGTTCGTTTTGGGAGTCCTTGGGAACAGCATTGTTGTTTTTGGCTACCTCTGCTGTCTGAAGAACTGGAATAGCACTAACATCTATCTCTTTAACCTCTCTATCTCCGACATAACTTTTTTGTGCACGCTTCCCATGCTGATGAAGAGTTATGCCCACGAAGAATGGACCTATGGAGACATCCTCTGCATCAGCAACCGGTACGTGCTTCATGCCAACCTCTACACCAGCATCCTCTTCCTCACTTTCGTCAGCATTGATCGCTACCTGCTTATGAAGCATCCTTTCCGAGAACACCTTCTGCAAAAGAAAGAGTTCGCTGTTTTAATCTCTTTGACCATTTGGCTGTTAGTGACCTTGGAGCTTGTGCCCATGCTTCTTTTCATAAACCCTGGGACGGGTGACAGTGGCATCAAATGTAACGATTATGCAAGTTCTGGGAACGCCAACCACAGCCTCATTTACAGCATATGCCTAACCTTCTCGGGGTTCGTCATCCCTCTTTTTGTGATGTGCTTCTTTTATTTCAAGATCGTTGTCTTCCTAAAGCAGAGAATCAAGCAGCAGGTTACCACTTTCCCCTGTGAAAGGCCTCTCAACTTAGTCATCTGGGCCGTGGTGATCTTCTCTGTGCTCTTCACTCCCTACCACGTCATGCGGAACGTGAGGATCGCCTCCCGCCTGTGGGAGCAGGCCCGGTGCGCTCAGGTCATCATCAAATGCCTCTACATCGTGACGCGACCTCTGGCCTTTCTGAACAGTGTCATCAACCCCGTCTTCTATTTCCTTGTGGGCGATCACTTCAGGGAGATGTTGACGAATAAACTGAGGCACCACTTTAAATCCCTTCCATGCTTTAGAAGATGAGCTGATGGACTGATGTTTTCATTCCCAAACGAGTGAGGTGTCCGTGGAACAGAACATTTTATACAAGCAGTTGAAGGCCAGTTAGAGTTTGAGTAACACATAGACGTAAATCACCCCTGCCGTAAAGACAGGGTGTACCCAGAGCACATAAACAGAAGAGGATAAGAAGAATTTATTTGTTTGTTCACCTACAAATCGAAAGAAGCTGGACCAGCACGAGACTTTGGGCATGTAAATCCAAAATCCTAGATGTTCTAATACCTCAATCTCTGCAAGAAGAATGAAAGATAGGTAAGGCAGCAAGCTGTCTGCATTTAATCACTGGTCTGATTGTAAAAAGAAATTGTTTCGGCAAAATTCTCTGTTATTCTTATTCATACTGTCCTATAACTTTTTGTGAAAATTGAATAGCAGATCATACATACATTAAGTATTTTATTAGAAGTTGTGCTCTTATGCAGATTTAAAGTAAAGAGTAACAATAAGAAGCAGGAAAGTAATATAATGAGTTCAAGGATGCCTAATATATTCCTTTATATTGATCACGAATTGGGTCAACGTTTAATTCATCAGTCTCTTTTTTTGTTGTATGGTTTCTAGTGTAAGTGATTATATTAAATAGAGATATTTCAGCAAAGGGAGATACATGTTTGAGTTTGACTGTTAGGAAATTTAGATGCACATGATTTTATCCAAATACTAGAGAGAGATACCGAGAACAATTGCAAAAACCTCAGGGTTATAGAACAAAAAGTGCCCCCCAGGAACCCCAAAGCATGACAAAACAACACAAAAGTGAGTAGATTGTGTGATGATTGTACCATCTGGCATTTAATGATCACACTTTGATCATCACTGCATGGAACTGTATTAAAGTTTATTAGCCTTGCTGCTCTTGATTAAATAGTAAATTTTAAAGTATATTGATATCATAAAACCAACAAATAAGAGGAGCTGAAATGTTAATACCAGAATTTGTTGGCTTAATTTTTCCTTTGGAAGAAAAAAATCATAGTTCTCACCTTCACCCCTGAACAGCATTATTTTTAAAGCACTAGGCTAATTTACAAGGACAACTTCATCTGAGAGAGTGATTCATATTTGGATTGAGCCTTGTTTTCATAGGATATTACATAAGACCATTGGTGGAGATGTTCTAAACAAAGTACACTTCATGAAATGGTAGAATAGGAGGAATATTTATGTACATAGCAATATAGATTATCTCAGGAGGGTTAGACACCATTCCATGCCACAGAACAATTCAGGAGGGGAATGGCGCCTTTTAAAGTTAAACAAGTATCACATAGTACTTCACTTATATGCAACAAAATGTATCTATGGCCACAAGTCTACATTCCTTTCCTTGATGTCAGTACTATAAAGGGTGAGTAACAAGAAGGATAAATTAATCATGAGTGCAGAGATTTAAAATTCCATTGTCCTTTCTGTTCTAAGATTCTCTGGTAGTATTATATTCTGATATTCCAAAAAACCAAAATATTTCCAGTTAGTGCTTTTTCTGCAAACTAAAATATTATAAAAACATATTACTCATGAATGATTGTTATGCCTTGCTTTTGTTATTAATACTTTAAAATGTTTAATATAATTTTATAACTGCTTGATAATAAACTGAAAACAGAATCTTCTGAATTTCCTCATCAGAAAAGGTCACAAGCTCTGGCCGGTTTTGCTCAGTGGTTAGAGTGTCAGCCTGTGGTCCGGAGAGACCCAGGTTCAGTTCCCGCTAAGGGCACGTACTTCGGTTGCAGTTTGTCCCCGGCCCTGGTTGGGTCGTGTGGGTGGCAGCCACTCGATGTGTCCCTTTCACATTGATGTTTCTCTCTCTCTCTCTCTCCCTCCCACTCTATCTGAATAAAAAGTGGAAAAATGTCCTCGGGTGAGAATTTTAAAAAAAAGAACAAAAAAAAAAGAAAAAGAAAAGGCCACAAAAAGGGCCTTAAGAAAGAAGTATTTGCTTGTTTCTGCAAACTTAACAACATACAATTTAATCCTAATTCGTATTTTATGCATGGGTTTTCATTTTTAAAGATGAAATTAAATTTGCCCGTCCTCTACCCAAAAAAGTGGCAGAATTGGACTCTCTCTAATAGTACAGTGAAATATTTTGTAAAACCATAGACTCTTACATATATCTTGTAACCAAAATGTTAAGTAATTTTGTAGTAAATTTCCTCATTTTTTTCCTTGCTCAAATCTGCCATGTGGTAACTTAATTCTTAACAGACTGAATAGAATTGCACTAAAATTACAAGAGGTGTTCTATTTGCTTTTTTGTGCTAGGTGATTATAACAATCACAAACAATAAGCAATGGAAATGCTCTTCAGGTATGTGGTTTTCAAAGGAAACAATGTTGGCCTTTTGTATCTTGTCTTTTAATTGGCTCCTTAGTGTCTTCAGAACCATGTATAAACTTTTGGTCCAGCATTTTGCCATTTGGCCCCTGCGACTCGTCATACATTCTCTCTTGCCACTGTTGCCACAACCGATATCCTCCAGCCGAAGACTGCCCCATCATTTCATTACGTTCAGAACTTTCTCCACAGTGTGCACTTGGGTGCTCACCCCCTTCCATCATGCCCACATATTTTTTTTTTAATTAAGTGTATTTTAAGGTTTATCACATCTGTCTCTTCTTAAAACATTCTTTTATATCATCTCCTCCCAAAATCTGGAAGTAAATGTATCTACCTCAGGGGCTTCAGACTACTTTTAAGCACTGTTTTTATAAAATACATTATCTTTGACCTTATAGTATAGTTGTTTAAGTTCAAGTCAACTCTGAGATCTATGAAGTTTTAAATTGTAGCTTATTATGAATGAATGTCATACATAATAAATTTTAATTCAACGAGTCTTTTGAGTGTGTATGATCAAACTATTTTCCATCATCACCACTTTCATAACTAATGCTATTGTATATAAAGAATAAAGTGTCTATACACAAATATATGGGCCAGGTGCCATTGCTCTGTCCCTTATAGTTTCCCTTGTACCTTTGAGCAGTTTTAATGAATGTTTATACTCTGTGTCTACAAGTTCCAAATCTAGGTTATTTCAAAGATGATCTTCATTGATTACCTTTTCTCACAAGTATGGGGCATAATTTTCTGTTTCTTCATATTTAATAAATTTGGATTTTATTCTGGACATTATAAATAATATGTTATGGAGACTGTATTTTGTTATGTTCTATTGAAGAGCACTGATATTTTGTTTCATGGCTGAACTCCAAATTCTGCAATGTCAGTTCAGTTTTATTATCTTTAACTGTGCTGCTTAGAATCCACCCAGAACATCCATAGCTCAGAGGTCAACTAAAGACTTGAGCAGAGTTTATACACAAGAATGGCGCTCCCTTTCTGTAACTCTCTTTTCCCCAGCTGCTGAGTTCACCCTGAACTTGTCCTTTGCTTTCTCAAAGTAGATAGACTGCACGTTTCTTTCTGGATTTTAGCACTCCTGCTAAGATGGTAACTTTGAGCCCAGGACAGTTAATTCTCACTGCTTTCTGCCACCTCTCTTCTGTGCAATGTTATCAGCGTGTCATATATTCCATCAGTCAATTAGGAATAAGAGCTATTGACTATAAGTATTGAATATGTCAGGATATAAAACATTTACAAATGTACAGTTATATAAAAATAAATATATTTTTTCTTAGACCTGTCTACTACCCCATGAAAGAGATTCTTCTTTATGTCCCTATAACAATGTCGAAAAGGCCTTAGGTTTCTCATTTGCCATATGTCTGACTAGATCTATATGTTGAAATTGGTGGGGAAACCCCAAGTCAGTCTTGAGTTCAAGCTCACTTGCCAATCCTGGCTTACCAGTATTGAGTCAGGGGCCTTGATCTCGATTTGTTTTAGATTCCTGTGTAAATACCATGTATGGGAGTGTCTTAGAGGGAAAGAAATAAGACTGGTCAAGATTAAGACACCAAATCTCATCCTAAATGGTCACCACAAATGATAATAATAGCGAACACTTAAGTAGCACATAAAATGTGCCAGGCACTGTTGATCTAGCATGTTATACATGGTCACTCATTCAGTTCTCACCAAACCCTGTGAAGGGTACAGGGAGTTCCGTGGCCTGTCCAAGCTCAGACAGCCAGGAAGTGGCAGAAGTCAGTTCAAGAGGCATTGTTTCATTAGAATCTCTAGAAAATCACTTGCACAAGCAGCCTAGCTTTGTGAGCAACATTCTCTTCACTCACACACACATCACCCCGCACTCCATATACTGCAAGATAAAAATAAAGAAGAAAAAGTCTCTCACACTTAACCTTGGAACATCAAGCTAGTTTGAAACCTGAGTGATAGAATATCCATTAGTAGTGGTAGTGGCTCCCATTCGAACGCATGATGCCACATGTAAGTGGAAGTCCCTATCAGAGCAGAGTGGCTAGTCAGGCCTGTGTTCAGCAATCCCAGCAGGATGCTCTCAAAAAGAATCTGCAACAGGAGAAGGAAACATGAGCATATTTTTGAGCATAAAGAAGACAGGACCCAGTGGCATTATATAAATACACACCTGGGCTGGATTTTAGACACGCTGAGTAGGTGGCACGTAAGCAAGCAAGAAAAAAACAAAAAAACTTTGGAATTCTGTGATTCTATTTGCGCTCCCAGATTGGTGGACCTAAAGAAAACCTTAACATACATATATACATTTACTACATTGAGAGAAAAATATATACGTATTTAATGCATTTAATAAGAAAGAAAGCTCACTACTCAAACATGCAAGCATTTGGTTCCTACGTCACACTTTCTCATTAAATTTTGCCTATAACAAGAGCCTGGGTTCTGAATGCATTAAAAATAAAAATAAAAACCACGTTATGTAGCCTGGCCAGTTTGGTTCAGCGGTTGAGTGTCAGCCTGTGGACCAGAGAGTCCTGGGTTCAGTTCCTGCTGGGGGCACGTACCCCCTCTCCCCAAAAATCCTATTATGTAAACAGGCAGAATTATGTGACAGTTTGCCACTGGTGTATCAAATACACTTATTCAATGAATATTCATTGGGTGCCCAGTGTTTGCCAAAAATGGTGTCATCGGGTAAACTATGAATAACAAATGGTTCCTTCCTTCAACCAGCTTGTGGACTTATAAGGAAAACTGATGTACATAAAGCGACCAAGGGGAAAACGGAGATGTGCCCAAACTGCCAAAGTGCATGAATGAGAGTTCATCATTCTGTCTCAGGGGATCGGGGAGTGATCCGGAGGTGACGCCGACCCCGCTGGGGGCTGGCATGAGGGTGAGCAGGGAGCTGAGTATGAAGGCGTGT